TTAAGTGTCAGATTGTTCAAGTGAGTTGTGCAAGACCACAGAAATTAGCATTTTCACTATGAGTAAGGGCAAAAAAAACATGAGTTAGGCAGAAAAAAGTACATAAGCATTCCATCACAACTCTGCCTCCTTCTCCTTGTCCATGGTTACAATTCACCATCCTCAGCCACTACCCTGACACCTACACACAAGTCCACATGAGGTATTTTTGTACTCCAAAATAGTTCTTCTCAGGAAAACGTCTCAAATTGAAAATAATGAAATCTCTGAGTTAGTCGTCAAAACCTCTTACCTGTAGAAAAAAAAATCAATTGTTCACTTCAGGGTCTCTAAGTTTTATTTCTCTTATAGCTTTCCTATTTCTTATCCTACTTTCTGCTACTACAATGGAATCTATACGATTCAGTAATTTACAAAGGGAAAAAATTCATTCCTCATCCTTCTGGAGACTGGAAAGTTCAAGGCCAAGATGCCATCATCTGATAAGTGCTTCCTTGCTGCATTATCCTATGGCAGAAGCCAAGGGGCTGAGAAAGGGTGAGAGAGAGCCTGAGAGCAAGAGAGCATCAAGCCTCCTTATGTAATAAGCCCGAAATCCAGATAACTAACCATGCCCAAGGATATACACATTAATCCATTCATAAAGGTGGAGCCCTTGTGACATAATCATTGTGTTAGTTACTTTTCTCTCATTGCTGAGACAAAATACCTGACACCTAAAATTAAAAGGAAAGGGGTTTATTTGGCTTTCAGTTCCTAGAAGTTTCAGTCCCTAGTCAGCTGGCTCCAAGGCAGAGATCGCAAACAGGCATCGGAGGAGAAAGAACATGGTGCCCAACAATTGTAGCAAAGGCAGCAATCCCCTTTCATCTTACTCAGACTACCTGGATTAAGGCGATGCCAGACCAATCACTCATGTTTAGTGGTTTAATAATCACACACCCTTACCAGCATCACACTTTCCACCTCTGAAGAAGGTCGACCTCATCTGCATGAGGCTTTGGGGGAACATCTAAACACAAACCATAACAGTCACCTTTTACCAGGCTTTACTTCTTGGGGATTAAGTTTCCAACACTTGAACTTTAAAGAATACATTCAATCCATAGCACATCCTTATTTCAAGAAATGTTTCCTCTTTACTTACCTAGTTTCTTAAGGCTGATAAAAAGACAATGATGCTTATAACTATTTGAAGAAAAGACAAACATCTCAGAATTTTCAAGAAAATATTTGCCATTTAAATGAACTGCTAATACATAGAGGCCCAAGAGGCTAAAAATGCTTTCCTGTGTCTTTTTAATCTATGCCATATACCACAACATAAGCATCTTGATATTTGTTAACCCTAAAAAAGTTAGGTTTAGTAGGCTTTTAATTAAAATTTAATAACTTTATTGTTTATACTTACTTCTATCATATATATAGGCATATATTTGTGTGCACATATATATCAGTAGAAATATATATTTCAAAAAGTAAAAACTATCGGATATAAAATATATCTTTTAATACATTTTATTTGGAGAAAATAAGAAGACAAGGAAAGCTTACCTAGGATCTGTTAAGTAGGCAAACCATTATTAAGGCGAAGGTAAGTAATTATCCATAGAAAATAATTCTCATAATGTGTCTGTCTCACAATTTTATCCAAAAATGAAAATCGCCTTTACATCTAGTGTAGATCTCAATGTAAGGAGTCTCTAGGTGTTTTCAAAATTTACAAGTGTAACTACTATGGTACACACAGTGTGATTTTTAAAAATATGATAAATGTCTAAATTTTTTTAAAAAATTATTATAGTAAAAGACATATTGCCGTTAGTCCTCCCCCAAACACTCCCTCTTGCTTTGAACGTGCTCATCCCATCACGCTTGCTACTTTCAAAAGCAGTCCTGGAAGTCCTCTTTAGTGAAAATCTGTATGGGAGCGATCATAAAGATGAGTCCTCAATTACCTTTTTCATCAAATCTGGCACATGAGACTTCCCCAAATGATCAAGGAGAATCACAACAACCCAACTACAGACACTCACAAAGAAGACTTGTAGAACTGTTTCCAAAAATGACAAGAATGATGGGTTACCTGTGTTTGAAGTGAGAGTATTTTGAGGGACATTACTATGGCTTTACTATAGTAAGTTTTGTTTTAATTCATTTTTAAAGGTTTTTCAAATTTAAGCACTAGCCTTATTTTTATCACACATTGTACATGGAAATAAGGGCAGAATTTTTCAAATGAAACTATTCACTAAGGATTTAACGCAGCATGTAAAAATAATAATAACTGAATCCTCTCAAATTGCAGCTAACAGTAGAAAATTGTTGCAGTGGCAATATTTTTTAATTTGTTGACCACTTTTCCCTTTCCTCAAAAAACAGGATGTTTAGTTTCAATGACATGTTATTGAAACTTTCCGGAAGACTTTAAAGAAAGAAAACCAACATTTGCAAAAGATGAGTATTAGTCAGCTTTGTCAAAAAGATTAATCCTTTTAAACGATAGTTTCAATCCTTCCTTTTCCTACAGGGATTTAGTTCAATTTCAGGAAGGCTAGGTTGCTATTCTACAAAAAATTACACTGTTTTTTTCTTTCTTGTTTGAGAAAAGGCTTAATGTGAGGTTTTAGTCTTAAAAAAACCAAGTCAACCTTTTCATCACTTATGCCCTATTCTGAGTGACCAAATTTAGTAATCACCCTGCTGGTTCTTTCCTAAAAGCTCTGTTTTCTGAATATTTTATCTAGAAAGAGATAGTTTTCCCAGGGTATCTATCCATGGGGGACTGGTTTTATGACTTCTTGTAGATACCAAAATCCATGGATGGTCAAGTTCCTCATATCAAACTGTGTACTTCTGCGCATCACCTAGTGAGCACGTCTTCTCATATCCTTAAAGCATCTCTATTTATTATAGTGTCATATAAATTATATGTAAATAGCTGTTATACTGTGTTATTTAGGAAACAATGACCAAGAAAAAGGTTAGTAAATGTTCAGTACAGGTGCCAGTGTCTTTGGCCTGACTGCATAGTATACCACCAGATGCAAGGTGAGCAATGTTCAACTAGCGCTGGTAGTGATTAGGAATCAGTAAAAGGGCAGGAGGCTGCTGCAGCGTATGAGAATCAATTCATTGTCATGGCTTCAGTGTAGTTCTCAGTGTGGAGTAGACTCGAGTCTTCTTTTTTAGAACTTTCTGAGATTTTTATTATTTGACTATTTTTGGTCTGTGGTCAATTGAATCCATGGATGTGGAACTCATGGATGGAATCTTTGGTTTGAGAAACAATTTTTAGAGTGAAGTGTGAGTGTAATGTATGGGATGCAAAATTTTTGAGTGTGTGTGCACATGTGGGTGTGTGTGTGTGTGTGTGTGTGTGTGTGTGTGTGTAGTTAGCAGAATATTAAATCACTTAGCTTTGATTTCAAAGCTGGGAATTGGATTCATACAACTTACACGCTCTGGCACACTGCCTTCTCTTCATGCATCTTCATGCCTCTTCATGCCTTCTCTGCATCTCCCTCTTTCATCTGATTAGTTCTTCATTCTCAGTGCCAGTTTGAGTTGTCACTCTGCAGGACATTTCCTGAGTGCTCTGCCTTATGCAGCAGTCATCATGACTATAAGAATCTACTTAGTATAAGTCTTTACTTTGTAAACTATAAACAGCATGAGACACAGAATATTTCCTGACTGTTTGCTGTTGTTCCCAGGGTTTGTTAGGTGAGCTCTTAAGTAATTATTGGAAGAAAGAAGCAAGGAAAAAAAGAAAAAGGACCTTTTCTAGTTCTCTGATATTTTATTATAATCATTTAAATGTTTGGACCCACTGTTTCCTTTTTGACTTTATCTGAGAGAAATTATATATAGTTCTTCCTTAATCACAGATATCTCATACTTCTTATAAATGTAGAGTTAAACTCTTTGCGAACTTTTGTGAATTAAAGAAATATCCTTGCTGTTGTAATTAATCTGGATTTATTATAATATGTTTTGTAAATCCAAGCACCAAAGCGTTGGCTTAAATTCTGATGGGCCCACAAAATCCACTTGCCTTCTCTCTTGACTTCTCATTAATACAGGATACCTTCTGATATACAAAAGTATTTATTTGAGTTTATTCATTATACTTGCTCTTAAAATAATCACATTGTAATTATTATAGATTATGTATCATTTATTAAGTAATCTATAATAACCATAATAAAATGCAAATAATCTCAAGGCATTACCCAGATCTATTTGCATAATATTTTAGTGGCTATTTCACAAAGTGGACAACATAATTTGTGTCTCTACATAGATTTAAAATATTCTGCTTCTCTCTTTCTTACTTCCCCATCTGTACAGGAAATGGCTTTTTGTTATGAATGGCTGTCTGCTACTGCTAGCTTTGAAAGTATTTTGTATTGGCATAAACAATCTGTCCAAGAAAACTGTGGCTTAGATTTCATCAGGGTTTTGTTATTTGCAGCGGGAGATACTGCTGATAGAAGCAGATTCAGAGAAATAGGTGCAGGGCAGAGAAGTGGGGTCTTTTATGCCCTTCTTAGTAGTGAAATGAACTGTGAGCAACATACATAGTAGAATCACTTTTGAGTTCAGTAACAGGAAATGAGTGTACATTACTGTGGGTGAGCTGCTTTAAATAAATATTACAAATAGATAAATAGTACAGAAGGTCCTGGTTCTTTTCCAAAGTAATTTATTTAAAGTACTTAGGAATAAACTATACCATATAATTATAATAAATTCTGAAGCTCTATGTGTAACTATATACTTAGACACTTATTTTAATGAAGCAACCTGTTACTACTCAATATGTTAATGAAATTTCAGATGGAGTTAAGGGCTACCTGGTAGGTTGAGCCCTTAAACAGAGAGAGAAAGGATGTTGGTGCTTTCTCTTCTAGTTTAGAAGAAGAAGTTAGTATGTCCTAATATTTCATTGAAATAGTATTTTAAAGCAATCGATATCATATCACATTGTTTTACAGCAAAACTGCGGGAGTCTTGCTTTGATCCAGGCAATATAATGAATGGTACCAGGCTTGGAATGGATTATAAATTAGGGTCCACAGTCACCTATTACTGTGATGCTGGCTATGTTCTTCAGGGATATTCAACACTGACCTGCATCATGGGGGATGATGGGAGACCCGGATGGAACAGAGCCCTGCCAAGCTGTCATGGTAAGAAACATACCTTTGCTGAGTTTTTATTATTGGAAAAAATCAAGACATGTTTATAGCTATTTCTGTATTTTAGGACAAAGTTGGAGATAGAGAAGGGGATCGGGGGAGAAAGAGGGGAGAAGGGAAGTAAAGGGATCCAAAAGGATCAAGATATGCTATGTACATGTACCAGTTTCTTTAAACAAGTGTGATTATGATGTGCTCCAAATGTACACTCATAAAACATAGGTACTTTCAAGAGAAAAAAATTAATAAAGACTTTATTATGAAAAACCAACAATTTAACATCCTATTTACAAGTGTGGTGTAGGCAATGAGGATATTTTATCAAGGGTTTAACAACTGAATTCAATAAAAAAATGATTTTGAAGTAGTGTTCATATTCCCAGGTGTCTCTAGAGCAATGGGCCTATTACAGTTGGAGAATTCTCTCAGACAAAAGGTATTGTCTCTCATGTTCGCTTGTGTGACTGTAGGATTTAGAGCTCTTGAAATCATTAAGTGCACATAAAATATTGGCCATATAAATGAGGAACAAACATTGTGAAACTAAAATTTCAACACAATTAGATAAATGCCATTAAATTTAATTTTATCAGGAATTGGTGTGTAAAGTCATGTGTAATATACACATACTAAATACTCATACAACAAGTGTTAACATTCTATGTCACAAACATGAACTAAAAATAATAATAGCAATAGTAATGAAAATGGGGAGAGGGGATCTAGAGAGCAAGGGAGAGAGGTAGATGGACAGGGGAAGGAGATTAATTTTTTTAAAAGTTGTATTATGTTCATGTGCCTGCTTCCCAAGATGAATGTAAACTTTAGCTATTGGCAATATGTACTATTAAAATAATATTAAATAAAAAGAATTGGTGATAAATCTTTATTTAAAAGAAATACAGAAGAATACATTTCTCCTAAGAACTAAGTACCAAAAAGAGAATACTATTATGTTTAAAAAATCATATACTTGCATATAACTCTATATAAAGATACAATGAAAAAAGAGCATTGAGGGGAGACAGAAACAGCGACATCTCTGGGGAAGGTTACCAGATGCCCCAGCACGTGGCTGATCCTAGTGCACTGTAGAAAGCTGAAGGAGATGATATTATCTAGGGCAGATCTTCCAAATGCTCAGCAGTGAGTCACAAAATCAACTCACTGGGTCATGACCAGCAGTTTTATTGTAGAAATAGCATTCAATTCAATTCAATTAGACGTAAATAAAAACTAGAGAAAATAATGTGCTTCAATGAACACAGGCTTGGAAAATACTATTTTGTGTAATGTTTTTGCAGTTATATATAGAGAGATAAATAAAATTCAGTAAATGTACACGTCCATGTGTGTACCCGTATGTATGCATTCACTTGGTGTTTGTATTTGTTTTTACTGGGCCGTGATATGAAGTATATTTATTACCATGGATTTCAGTAAGAAACCCACAACAATCCTCATCTGATACAAGTATGGGTTTCTAGTTTTAAGTGACTAATACACTTGGTAATTTTTCCTCATTGTAGAAGGTACTCACTTGTAAGAATTATTTTTTTGCATAACTTCTGACTTTCAGAAGTCATTTAATCTCTTTGAGTGTATATTCTCTAATCTCTAAAATACAGATAATTAAAATCTTGTGCTTCAAAATATTGTTAAAAGAAATAAAGAAATATTGAACATCTACTAAACTGGTTCACCAGTTACTAGAATAACTGATTAATTCTTGACTTGCATTGATGACTTCCTATATCAGAAGATAAACAGGATTTTAAAAATAACTATTTGAGGTTGACTTCTTCTAATAAATAATTAGTGGTATGGCAGTTTTATGGAAATTGAAGAGACTGATTATCATTCTTTAAGAATTTAGAGCCATAAGAAGGAAAAATCTAAGAAAGTCAGAAATACCTGAGAATAGTATACATTTATAAGAATACATCTGCCAAAAATAATCCTATTACTTTCCAACAGTCTTCTATATTGGAGGAAACATCAATTTCATTTATCATAGAAATATCAACTGTATCATATCTGTATGTACACCATTAATATACACAAATAAATCTGAAAGAAATACATTTCATCTTATCAATTTTGTCCAGTTAAGTAACTTAATGTTGCTTGCAAAGGCATACCGATAGACAGTTTCAAGAGTATAATAGACCTGGGTTCAATTCCTTTGACACTATGACCTGAAAAAAACAGAGCTTTGATTTTTAAATCTCTAAAAATTCAGTGACACCTATTAATTCAATAGATTATTGTGAAAAGTCAGTTAATAAACATCACATACAGAGAATTTAGTAAAGTCCCTTACAGTTATTGGTAATGACTTGTTACCCTTTCCAGCAAAAACCATTTGCTTGACACTTGTCATCTTGGGTACCTGTTGTTTCTTCTGGAACTAATTAAGAACAAGTACTGAGGTACCACTGTATATCTAATCATGTGATAAGAGTGTGTAATTTGTAAGGTCATTGGGAAAATTATATTAAATAATTAATGTATAACAGTGGCTTCTGTGGCTATTACTGTTGTACACTGAGGAAAGCTTAATACATTTTAGTTTTCTAATCACTACCACACCTATCTAATAGTTTAACCTCACAGTAAGACTATATACGAAGGCTGGTTTGCAGATGCAATAATTTAATACTTAAGTCAAAATTAAAGCACATGTAATAGAGCCAGAAGGACATTGCTCATACAGACAAATTCCTTATTTGTAAGGTAAATTATGTATATATAGTTTTTGGATCATTTGTGGTGCTAGGGATCAAACAGGCCCTCCCAAATGCAAGGCCAGCACTCTATCACCGAGCCACATAGATTTTATTTTTTATCTGAATAAAATATGCCTGCAATTACTACTAAGAAAATAATATAGAATGGCTTCAGTGTTACACAATGGTGCTGCAAAAGTTGATTCTTCTAGTAATTTCTAATTGCTCTTTATAGCCCTATAATAAAGCTCTAAATTATTCTTACTGATTTCCTGACATAAAAGAAAATTACCCCAAGACCACAGCTCTTCTCCTCAGTGTACTGAAGTGATATTAGTTTTGATTATTCTACTGATTGCCTTGCTTATGTGTTAAAACGATTATGCTTCTATTTCTAATTTAATCAGTGTTTGAGAATTAGTTCAGGAGTTCTCTCGCTTTTCGTATGAAATCTTTTTCCACAACAGGAATCCTGACCAAGGTCTCCAAGAACATGGCCAGGAGGCTTTGCTTTAAAGTACCAAAGTAGCGAGTTGACTATTAGACTCTAATTCCTCAATGTCAGAATAAGAAAAGATTATTTATCTATCATGTACTTTTTATTATTTATTTATTATTCATTCATTCATTTACTGTGGCATGAGGATGGGATGTAGGGTCTTCACACTACTTTTTTTAATATACAAGTAAATGTGAACATGACCATCCTCTCCAAACTCTTCAAACACAGTTATATTTTGCATTTTCTTCTAATGTTTCCTTTTGTTTCACTTTAGAAGAGAAAGTCCAGGAAGTCATGGGCCACATATTCTGCTTAGCATGTTACACATTTACTTATATAAACAGGCTTTTAGTAAACATTGGTTAACTTGACCTAAACCATAAGAATTTACAGTTTGACTCTTTCAGAAGGTAGGTTTTTATCACTCTTTAGCATTACTTGTACATGTTAAAACTGGAGAAAATGTTTTAAAGAACTTAAATTGGACAGTGGGAGATTATATTTGTCAGAAGTAGATCCAAAATGATTGTATCCTGTCATAAGCCCTGCTCAGTGATGAGAAACTGCAGTTTATCTCAGAAGAATGTCACATAAGTTAAATGATAACAAAATGGCAAATCTCTTCCTACAATTGACTTTGCCATTTAAAAAATTGTATTTAGAGTATAACTCTTTTTTACTTTCTCATTTTAAATGACAATTGCTGAAACTGTTAATCTAATTGTTAATAGACCTACTGAATTAAGGTAGAAGTCACATATCCTTTTGTTGTTGTTGTTATTGTTTATTTCTTTGTTTTTGAGACATGGTCTTGCCATGTAGTTCAGCTGGCCTTCAACTGTCCGAGATCCTCCTGCCTCAGCTTCCACAGTGCTAGCATGCCAAGCCACATGTAATTCTTATCTGTAATCTGACTCAACGTTAGCTAGACAATAAAACACAAATACTGACAAATTCCACATTTCCTCCCTGATACTATTTACTTGATTTATTTCACCTCATTTTGCTGCATTGATTTATTTTACCTATTGGCTCACCAGACATCCTTGCCTCTCGCATCCTGTCCTAACTTTCTTCTTTCCTTCCTTATTCCCCATATACTGTCTTCTCAACACAATAGTGATTTTTTTTTTTTTTTTTTGGTACCGGGGATTGAACTTGGGCCCTTGCGCTTGTGCAGCAGGCAGCGAAACCACTCAGCTAAATCCCCGGCCCCAACACAATAGTGATTTTTAAAGCACACATCATATTACAACGTATTTACTAAAAATCCACCAATGGATTTCTAAATCAGAATAAATCCCAAAGATTTTATTATACAACTTCATTGCTATCCTCTTCTTGTGCTGCACTATGATACTGGCTACCCTGGTATTTCTTCAAAACACTGATCACCACTGGTGCCTCTGAATTTTCAAATTTTTTGCTCCTTTGGCCTGGAATAGTTTTCCCCAGCTCCTTGGCTGGCTAGCTCTTTTATTTCCTTCAGGCATATAACTGCTTGTCTTCTTATTAGGGAAAAATATGTCATTTTCCTTCTTAACTTCCCTGTGCTTCACAGAGCTCATAGGAAAGAATCAATATCCATATCTAAAACTGAAACCATATAACCTCTGTAAAGATTTCTCCGATGTATGTAAAGTCCCAGATACTTTGAGGGCCCAGAATTTTGAAAAGTTCTATCACTAAATTTCAGATTGCTGTCCAAAGTACCACATGAACAGGTAATTAATTATCAGACCTTAAGCGTAAACATAGAT